ACCCAAAATACGAGAATTATTTTCTGTAGGCATTTGGGTTGAGAGTACTGATCTTTCCTGTTAGGGACACTTACTGGACAGTCTTCTTGTTTATTTGGCCAAGCAGCGTCCATGAGAAACCATCGCAGCTGAAAGCACTTGTTTTAGTAAACCCCCTCTTAACGTTCTCGACGATCTCCCGATGACAAACTCTAAGGAACAACGCGCAATGGTTTGTTTTTTGACACCAAAGGAGTCGCCCACATTGAATTTGTTCCTCATAGTTCCATAGGGAACCATTACGACTATCTGTAAGTGTTAAAACCTATTTTAGGAGACAGTAAGGTAAACACTTACTGAATTTCGACAATCAGGTGACTGGTTGTTTAATCACGACAACGCGCTTGACCACACAGCGTTCGAAAGACGGCATGACAAGAATGCTTCACCCCTCACATGCCCGACTTAGCTCCCGGCGACTTCTCTTGATTCCAGAGAATCAAGAAAAACCTAGGAAGGAGGTTTTTTTCAGATCGTAGAAGTTGGGAAAAAAATCCCTCCAGACACTTAACAGCAGAGAAAAACAGTGAAAAACCCCTTGAAACAGGTGTATATTTTTAATGGACAATATGTCGAATGTCATTAATGTTTTCATGATGTCATCTTAAGAAGAAAAAGATTAGATAAATAATTCTCGTTTTAGACACCCCTGGTAACTATTTACCGATAACAAAATTTGAAATATAATCAAGCGACGGTAACTAGGTATAATTGAAAGCGTTTGCAATACAGTTGAATTCATATGCAACAGTCTTACTAAGTCTTTTCCAAGATCTTCGAAACGTCAGCCAAACAATTTCCTTGATCCCGTGAGCACTCCCCTTTCCTCAGATTACCGACCCGGATCTTTTACGTTTGCTAACCTAAGACTTCTCCAGTCCAAAGGACGAAGCATACCTTTTCGTTGCGTTGGATGTACACAAAGGCAACAGTTAGCCAGGTCAGTTGAGCCTTTGCCTAAACGAATTTTAAGACAGAGAAGTAGAACCCCGTTCTATTATCACAATAACGGCCACTATGCTGACTCCGAAATGACATAATGCAGTTGCCCGGGCATGAACAACTCGGCTATTGCGCAACATGGAATCAGTCTACATGTGGAGGAAGAAACCCGACTTATGTAAACAGCTAGACCGTGTAGTCGACCTCAGGCTGCCCTGGTAATCCGCAGCCATCTTGTGTGTGCGTTAGCTTTCCCCTTTCTTTTTTCAATAACCTTCTAAGATAACCTTTTCATTGTGTTCACTGAATGCTAATCCTTTAGTGTTCACATTGATTTTATGTACAAATTGGACTTGCTATATTCCCCTTACTCGTAATCTGTATTATGGTCTACGGCGCAGGAGACGATAAGAATATCTTGTCTCATCACCTCATTTCATCAACCAACTGTCCCAGCGATTGTAAAATTTTGATAGCTCCAGAACAAAACGCCTCTGTGCGGGCCCGCTGGTGCCAACTGCTAAACGCTATCTTCGCCGCACCCTGGATGTCGTCAGACGCGCACGTGGTCAACACCAGCACGAGTTTGAGGACCACGACGTCAACATTGACAAGCTGCTTGTCCAAAAGAACAGAAAGCACAAGTTCTACACCAACCGTCGGACGGACGCAAAAAGCGGCCCCCTCGTCAACGATGACTGCGAGAGATGCAGGACACCCGGATGACTCCAAGGCTATGCTGACCGCGATGCAACAAAGAACTTCTTTGCACCCTTCGAGGCCATCTACGGCCTCACAGCCGAAGGCGCCGCGCCGCTTCTCAGTTTTGATTGATCCAAAGCAGAAATCGCAGATCCTGAAGCCTTGGACTGGGCACCTCAGGAGTGTCCTCAACTGCTCATCTCCAATTCCGCATGCGGCCATCAACCGACTCTTTGAAGTGGAAACAAAGGACGACCTGAATCTCTCACTTTCACCCCTCCCCCTCCCCAGAAACGATCAGAGTTGTAAGCCTACTGTTCAGCAGTAAAGCACCAGGCTCCGGTGCGATCCTGACCAAAGTTTATAAGCGCAGTGGCCACCAAACTTACAGCGTTCTTCCAGTTTATGTGTTGCCCAGGGAAAGTGCCTCAGGACTTCAAGGATGCAACAGTCGTCCGTCTTTATAAGCGGGAAGGGAACCGCCAAATATTGCCACCCCCAGAGAAATCTACCCCCTCAAAATCACCGGGTAAACCTTAGCTCACATTCACCTCATTCGTCTCAACGACCACCTGGAAAAAGGGCTTCTGTGGACAAGCCCGCGGGGCCTCGGATGACACCGGCAACCATCTACCTGATCTTCCTCGCCACCTGTGGCAAAAGCTTTCGGCACGGTTAATCGCGATGGGTTTTAGAAAATCATGCAGAAATTCAGATGTCGCTGGCGATTTACGCACATGGTACTTCAGCTGCACAACAGGATGATAGCGCGCATCATGGACAACGGGCCCGTCGCCGAAGGGTTCTCGATGACACAGGGCTGCATGCTCGTTTCCACCCTCTTTAGCCTTGTGTTCTCTGTCTTGCTGGTGGACGCATATCCGGGATCAGCCTCGCCTATAGGACCGATGACCAGCTTCACATTAGCCGACACATGCAAGCTCCGACGAGTCTACCCACGACTACTGACGACTGCGAACTCAGTATCTCATCAGAAACTGACATGCAACGGAGTCTGTATCGCTTCGCATCCGGCTACGCCAACTTCAGACTGACCATCAGCGTGAACAAAACGGTAGTCATGCCTCAAGCCCCGCCCATGGCTACATACAGTGCTCCTCGGATCATCGCCAAGGTAAAACTAGGAACGGTTTCCCTTATTTAACCAGAACGCTCTTTTGCCGTATCACAATCGGTCATGAAGTGACACGCCAAATCTGCAAAGGCAGTCAGACCTTCGGCCGACTGCAGAACTCCGTATGGAATCGCCACGGTCTCCATCTCAAAACCAACTGAGTTGATATTTTGGCAATGCTGCTGCACAATGCAGACACCTGAGCAGTTAACTGGAAATGAGAGTGGAAATTCAATTACTTGCATCTCATTTGTCTCCGGCAGATACCAAAGCTGAGGTGGCAGGACAAGATCCCGGACGCGGAAGTTCTGGAATGCACTGGAATCCTCAGCTCCATGCCATGCTGGGAAATTGTAACTTCGATGGAGTGTCCACATCGTGTGGATGGCCGATGAATGCCTACTAAAACAACTGTTCTACGGAGATGTTGTCACGGGTGCCCGCCATTGTGGATGTCGAATCCATCACTACCAGGACACCATAAAGAATTTCTTGAAGTGATTAAAAATTAATCCGAAGACCTGAATAGACCTCGCGCAGGACTTACCGTTCTGGACACGAGCACTAACGACTGGAGCAACCAACCGGATCTCTGTAGCTTGATGGAAACAGGAAGCTCGCAAGTATCAGGCTTCCCTGATCCACAACTACGAACCCCGATCTCTTCCAACTTGCCCGCGCTGTTAGCAAACATTCCGCACGCGGATCGGTTTCATCGGACATCCACGAACCTAATGCGCCAACTTCCCGGTAACCCCAACAGCTGTGTTTCCAGTCGTCCCTTCTCCAACGCCCATGGTGTCTAGGACGACGAACGCCTTCACCGCTGGTGGCAACAGTCCCGGTGTCTCGTCCCCGTTGATTACATTCATCTCCACCATCCTTGCCACAAGCTCGGCGGCGACGACCACCACTTTTGGCACTTCGGCCATCGATCACAACACTCCTGATGCCGATCAACTACCACCCTCACCATCGACACCCCAAATTCCAGCAATGTGCGCTCTGTCCCAGCCTGTCCCCATTACGATCGCACATCCACCTCACGTATAAGACTGGTTGGTCACTTTCGAATCCAATGCACAGAGACTGGCATCCTCTGCTACTGGTGATATTCGAGCAGGCCTCCCCCCTGCGTGTGCGTATGAGGGATCTGGTCATGTGTGTGGCACGCGCAGACGAACCGATTTCAGCTACTTCTTCTAATCTCATAAACAGCTGTTTGGTCGGTCCTAGCACAGTTGGCTTGTGCGTGACAAGTGAGAACGACACTCAGCGCGCAGTTTCTCGCAGTAAGCAGGCTGACATGCTTGAGACAACAACATTGCGCCAAAGTCGTGACTTAGAAGGTTGTCAAATGTCGTTTAAACTTTATAGCCGAAGGAAGGTCTAGATGCCTGTTTATGGAGTTGGCATCTGAGTACCAAGCCTCAAGTGTGAGACGCTCAGTCCTTGAGGTGCCCCTGCATAAGACGGCTGCTCCTCGAGAATCAGAAATGTGACCAGTTTCCCTATGTTAACCGCAAGCTGTGAGTTTGGGCCTAGTCTCCGATTTGCCATTTTGTGCTCGCGTGGGCGGGTCCGCAATTTCCGTCCGGTTTCCCCCAAGTATTTACAGTCTCCATCGTTGCAGCGTATTTGATAGACAAGTGCTGAGATTTTAGTTGGTGGCAATATGTCTTTGGGTTGCATTGGACGGCGACAAATTGTTGCCTGGGACCGATGGGCAATGCCTACCCTGGCGGGTTGTAACAGTCGTGAAACTGCCTCGGAGACTCCTTTAATGTGAGAAATAGTCCTCCAGACTTCTGGTTGTTCTTCTTGTGGTCGTTACGATTTGCTAAAAGCCGCGGCCTAAAAGGTTGCCAACTGACGGGATAACTAGGGTTTCTAAGTCAGCCGTGTGGAGAGATCGCCTAGTAGACTGAGAGTCGGGCCACAATGGCTCCTTCTTAATGTGGTCTTCCAACTCAATGGGACCCGAATCAGTTTGGCGGCAGGCGCTTAGGTGCGGATTTTTACGTGTCAGCCATCTGCGCCCTTTTCCGCCTCCGGTTCTTCCGACTCAAAATAGTGGGTTCAGGGCGGGAGACAGCGCGGTAAACGCTGCTCAAGTCTGTTATCACTTTAAAAACCTTCAAACCCAAGTCCCCGCCCCTGCGTCCACTCTGCTGTGGAACACATGGTGAAAATCATCGGAAACGGCGGTCAAATGCTGATCCGTGTCCTGCAACGACGGGTGGCACTAGGTAAGCCATCGCGAAATTTTTCTATCGGTAAATTCTGTTGTTTATGCCTGTTTCAAATTCATTCCGGCAACTTTATTCATCTCTTTTCCATCCACATTTTTGAACTCTCTCTTCTCATTCACAGGCATGATACCACTGCTCCTCTTAACCCTCGGCAAGCTCCTCAAGCCTCTCAGTGTTGACAGCCTTCCCTACGGCATGATCGCTCTTCAACTTCTCCTAATGTTCCTGCCTGTTACCGCAGGCCTGCTAACGCGCCATTTTCGACCCTCGCTGGCTGACAAACTACGTCTGGCAGTGAGGCCGGCAGCCCTTCTTTTCCTGCTCTACGTCCTTATCTTTGGCTGCCTCGCCTACCTGTCCATTTACAAACTCATGGTCCGGTATCCCCTGTTGGTGGTCGTCGCAGTCGTTTTACTGCTTTCGGGCTACCTCCTCGGATTTGCACTGGCCCGACTCCTATGCTGTTCCTGGCCCGTAGTCACAGCCATCTCCGTGAGCATGGGCATCCCGAACAGTGGCGTCGCCATCCTTATCCTCATGAACGCAATGCCTCAACCTGAGGGCGACTTGGGCGCCATTATGCCGATTATTGTTGCACTGGTGACCCCAGTGCCATTGATGTGCATTTTTCTGGTCCGTTCTGTCGTCAAGTTGATAAAACGAACAAAGGACAGACATCCACCACTGAGTCAGATGACTTCTGAGTGATTAAAATGTAAGCCTATGTGTACCCGCACTCTCTGGCCTTTCGTTTTCAGTAAAACTGTGCTTTCGGATCACACTATCAGTTTTCACCCCCTAAAACAAGCCTTGCGGTAGGCATGCTGGATCAGCGCAAGCGTTAGATTGGAATCCGGTAGGGGTGTGGTGGCACGCTTAGGTGCGGGGTTTCGCTGTGTCAGCCACCTGCATCCTCTCTCACCTTCGGTCTACTTGACTGTGTCTTGGCACCGAGCCCAATTGGGTGAGGAAGAGAGAGTGCGTTAGATGCTGCGCAATTCTACTCTCCTTGTGAACTAATTCACGCGCAGGCTACCCTCCCCGCTCTCACCTCGCTAAGGGGGCACACGATGGACATGGTCGGTAATGACGATCGGAGTGTCGTGTGTGTCACCAGCTTTCCACTTCCTGTTGCGATTGATTTCGGCGGATTGTTTGTGATATCTAACAGGTAAGGAAGGTGCATATGATTGGACTGCGAGACCGAAATTTTTACTCGTCTGGTCAAGCGGGCATTCCATCAAGAGCGTGGGTCACCTCTGTGAAAGTGAAAACTGGAAAAGGTGTGGCATTGATATGCTTGCAGTCCGGATTATAGTGAAGGCAATTTACGCAGTCCCTACCCGTACTTTTCGCACTATGACTACGTTAAGATCCATTTTACGATCAAAACGGACTGTCGTACGTACTTCATTCATTCCACTCTAAGTAACTGCTTTCTATATCATATATTTTCCTCTGCGTCAACGGTGATTTTAGGTTATGGTAATTTTCTGTGCTCATATTTTTAGACGGGTTGATCACTGCCTAACTGCACCAATACTTCTTGTTCGAGGATACCTTCGCTTTGTTTTCCAAAGGTGGAACGGACATTGTGGTATTCCCACTCCATACTTTTTTCGACATGTAATGACCTCACACACAAGTTCACTTATCATCTTGGGAATCGCAGGAAACCACCTATTGCACAAACGCCCCGAGCCAAGTCACAACCCAGTCGGGTTTCTGGATTGCCGGACAGGTTTGAAAGGCGTCTCGTGGCTATAAAAGGGATATTTTTTAACCCTTAATTTGCTCTCACGTACATTACTGCCACGTTCCAAGAATTTCGAACGTTCTCAACAGGCCAGTGCACTTATATGGGGACCGGATCAAATAAAACAGGACAGTGATTAGATAAATCGATTAGATTTCGTCTTAAACACGACCGAGTACGAAAATATGAGAGGAAAGTGATAAGGGTCAATGTCAGGAACCGGGTGAGTTGCATGTATTCAGTCGATCTTTGACCACGGTAAGGCGCAGCCTGAACGAGATTCTTCTGCGCGCACAATACAGGCTTTGCTGAGGTTCATACGGTGCCCAGAATCAACAACCTGTGTGAGAACGACGCTCACTGCGCTCCTAGTTTCGCCTTTTCTCAGCCATACCGGAAAGTGTTCTTGCATTCTTTTGGATAGGCGCCGACCCATGCGACCAGTACAACCTGCTTCGCAGATGCAACTGGAGGAGAAGATAACAGTGAAGTGGTCTGAGATGACAACCTATCCTTATCTTCTACGGCTAAAATAGGATGAGCAGAGGATGATATTTGAACCTCTGCTGTTGGGAAGATTCGTAAGTCAACTTGATCAAAGCGTCTTCCTGGGAGTTCACTCGCACCGTCTTACCGACGCCGAATCATTATATCCCTAAAAACAAATCGTTTGAAATGGGCTTAACTATATACACAGTGGGCTACCTAAATCACGAAAAATCGCGAAATTTACAAATGATTACTAATCACTCGATAATCGATACCAATGCGTGGACTTAATACCTACGTTAATAAATAGCAACTTTAGGAGAATTAAAAACATAAAAGAAATATTAATTATAAGGTTACGTTGTTTATAAATACCACTTTTTGTGAAAGCGGGAGCCCCTAAACGTCAAAAATAGCTGCAATTATGTAAACTTCCCTTTTGATGTAGAGAAGATCTGTCCATGCAAACCAATAAGTAAGTATGACAACACAAATAGAATAACCGTTAAAAATAAACTTCTACTGAATTTAACATCTAAATATCCTTTAAGAATTGGTACAATTTCAAGTATAGCAGTTAGCCAACAGCCTACATTGTAAGTATAGATTTCCAAGCGGTTTCCCTAGGATTCAGGGTCTTCTTTAAGTTCTGGATTGATTGAGATGAGGTCCAATAAGGCAAAAAGGATCTTGCTTGACTTCGCCGATACGGACGTCATAGGAAAAAAAGTTTTCGCAGGGGCACATGTTGCCAGTCAGGTCAGTGACCAATGAATTGAAATAAAATTTACAGGTTTGATCGTAAACATACCATTTTCTGTATATCAAAGACCTATTCTTCCATGACATCAATTCGTACTTTTCCTTTATTCTGGCTTACGCTGAGTTTCGGATCGGCCTTAAAATATTGTCGAATGTTTCATTATTTTTAGTGTTTTCAGTCTATTGCCCATAAATGCGTATTCTAACTTACGTGTTTGATAAGACCTTTAAGATAAGGTACCCCTGGACGACATTTACTAAAGCAGCGACTCTTCGGGGTTTTTTCATGTAGACGGTCATTTTGGTCATATATGAAGACTCGTCAAAACAGGAAACCTCATCTTCGAATAAAATGAGCGTCCACAACAAAAGTCGACAACGAATATGACGTCATTTAAATAGAAACCTTAACCTTGTTTTGATTTCCTCAGAAGTCAACTGCGCAATTGGAGTAGGTCGGTATATACTGTGGTCTATAGACCGCAAAGGATAACCTCGTAATATTCATTTACTGCCGATGGGCAGCTAGTAGCATATTTTATGTTTACAAGATACCATATTAACAGCACATGTACTTGCTGAAGGTCCAGACACGCGTGTTTCGGTCTGCGCCTATAGACCTTGGTATATACTGGCCTACTCCAAGTTCACAGTTAGTTTCTGAGGAAATTTAAAAGAAACAATTTTTAAACTGGAGTTTCTACCAGAAGGCAGATGGGGAAAGCTGTGTGACCCACTGAAGTGAAGATCCCCTTTTAGCTGTGCTATGTAGCAGCAGAATATCCGTGAAACACGCGTGTCTGGGCTTTTAGTGGGTACCTATGCTGCTAGTATGGTATTTTACAACCCTAAAAATTTTCCTCTGAAAAGTCGCCTTTTTATGGAATGTCTTATTATTACGTTTCATTGACAAATGTCTGTGTACTTTGCATTTTTTCACGGTGAATCCGAGAAAAAATTGACACTTTTGGCCGTTTCTCCCACGTTGCCAAAAATGTGTTGACATTTTTCTACCGAAAACGTAAAAGCATGCCTTTCTGTTTATATTGCGTCCATTTCTGCCATCTTTTCTCATTTGTGGGCCAGGCTGTGCGATTATGAATGCACGGCAGAGTGGTCATATAAATAGTGATATTTTGCCGAAACTATTAACATTTTTCGTTCCATTTCCAAATTACGTACACGTGGAAAGTAGATCGCACGAAAAGTTATGTTTCATATGTTAAAAACTGATAATGGCTATTCGGCAGCGGTTTTTCTGTGACGACCGATACAATTTTCTAAACGGCAAAACAGTTTTGGTCCATTTAAACAAACGCCGTCCATGTGCGCTATTACTGGACCTCAGGGTACGGGATCGAACAGATTTACTAATCTGACTTCTAAAGGTCGGTAAAAAGCCTGGCTCTTTTAAAATAGCCCGTGGTTAGCATCGGACAAAAATCAATTTTCAAGTGCGACAAGATCTGCTTATTCAGACTCTTAAGGTAGATTACTTTTTGGTAAACAAAACCCAATGGACGATCGAAATCTCTGACAGGTGTTAGCATTAAAAGTTACCCAATTATATCGCAATGTCCCTGTTCGCTCGGATTTATGAAAATTCTGGCGGATAACATTGCATGGACACATTATCTACGCAATAAAATGGTATTTTCTTAAAGAGGCTGGACAAACGAACGAAATGCGTGACGTTTAAGACGTGCGAAAATTCTCACACCAATTTCTGTCGTCTGGTTTCATCAGATGAATCACGTACTGCAAGTAGATATACTTATATATGGCGGTCAAATCATCTCTTGAAATGTTCACCAAAAATCCGAAATGACTTTTTGATCCAAAAATAGTACTCAAATGGCTTTATAATGTCAATTGCCATGCAGTATAATCCCAAGGCTTTTAATTCACGCCGGGGTGCCGTCTTTTGAAGGAGTTTCTTTTCGGCCATTTGCGAAAAACCCACACTGTAAAAATGACGACTTTCGCGTCCTGAATGTTTCCCAATTGTCTTTGGATGCCTTTATAAATTCGAATACTTTTGTAGAAAATATGCACAAAAATGTTTTTTATATGGTCACTCGGTAGCAAATTACGTCTCCTTTAAGTTTTTTACTTGGAGAAAGGGTTTATGTTAATTTTAAAGAAGGTTCCCAACTACCTAATGGTCTGAACCCGACTTTCTGTTAAGCATGCATTAAGAGTTTCTAAACCACAGACTGCATATTTTCTTCGTTGAGAAAATCATACATTTCGGCACTTTTTGGAATTATTTCATATAAGATCCATAAATTCTTATAGTAGAAGTGCGTCATGTTGCAGACTTTAAAAGCGGAATCAATCAGTTGATCTATACGAATCTTTATGGACGGATTTTTACGGTCTTAGAAACCTCATAATCCAAAAATATTTTGAAACCGAATGCAAAAGCGTTGAAGAAGACGCCATTTGCTGCCAAACAAGTAATAGAAACACTATATCTATGTTTAATTACTGTTTATAGGGATACCAAAAATCAATGGGAAATTGCCGTACTATTAAATAGTCATTTTTACGGAGTGTAGTATGTGCAGGCGGCCAAAATAGAACGCAATCTAAGACCGGCGTCCTGAGGTGACTACCATATACGGCTATTGCGCTGTGTTAGTCAACATTACAACCTTACTTGAGTTTATTGCCTTTTCCAAAGAACTTACTCCCTTCGAAATATACATAAGTAACATTGAAACCAACAGGAATGGTTTCTGCATAGTCGAGTTCCCTGAGGCAAGCGCTTTGAAGCATCTGGTCGCCTCTATTTGGTCCTACCGCATCGAGATGACTGGTAACTACTAAAATAAATAACAAATACGAAGGGAATAGTAAAGACGACTTCCGTTGTAGATCTTGCCAGATGCAGTTTGAAAACAACCATGCAGTGACTTAAAAAATTTCTTTTAAAGTCAGTGCTCGGAGAAAAGCGCAGGTAAATGTGTTTATATACTGGAGCATTTTTTCCCGGGTATAAATTGAAAACAGGCGTGCTCAGCAGGATTTATTAGTATCAGCAAATTTCGTGACGTCTCATCAGCTGCAACTCGTCTTTGCATAGATAGTCCACAGCTGTTTGAATCTGTACAGAATGCCAATGAGTAAGAGCAAGGTCAGGGCTTACTGAAACGAATGACCAAATGAAAGACATTACTGTAAAGATCATATGGGAAAGCTGGGAACGGAGTTTTAACACAAATCACGGTTATAAGTAAACCGAGGCGTGAAGGTTACCAAAACAATTGCAGATTGACTTCATGGTCCAGCTGCTTTCATAGGTCTGATTTCTCCAGCCATATATAGGCTGCTTCCGAGTAGCGTAAGGTCTGAGTAGTACGAGCTCTAAAAAGTACTCGGAAAGCTGTTTTAGGATCGACAACATTACCGTTATTTAACAGGTGTTTCGTTACAGACGAACAGGGGGGTTTTGTTTTCCTGTTTGAAAAGCCAATTAGGCAAAAGCTCAGAGGCACTGGCTGCCAGCTGCCTTCACGTTCGTCCAATGCGCCTGTATCAGCAAATACAGGTGACTTCGCACACGCAATTTGAGGTGGCGTACAATACCAAGACATCCCTTGCCCGACCAACTGGAAGACTTTTAGTGGGATTAATGAAGACCAGTTCAGCTGCGTGATAACGTCTCGAAAACAATCAAGCGACGTTTGAGCTGCATCATTGAGGGGACATGTAACGCAGTTGAACTCGCCTCTGTCAGTGCCACTAAAGTCTTTCGGTTAACCGGGCTAAGGATGCCTTGGCGTTGCCCGTCATCCCAAATCGAGTGTATGAATTCACCTGCACCTACGGATGCAAGTATATCGAGCAAACGCAAAGGCAGTTGGCAACCAGGACCTCTGAGCATTTGGCTAATTGGTTTTTCAAACAATAAAATGGAACATCTCGTTTGTCTAACACGAAACGTCATGAACAAATAATAACTTCTAAGCCTGACAAAGGTCGTGGGTTTGTTATTCTTAACCGGAAGGACTGTGTGGGAAAAAAGGAATTCATTTTAAACGATCGGAATAAATTTCGTTTACAGAAATCAGAGAGGGAGGAAACCAAGGCGCTCGAAGACTCAGTCCGGAAAACTGTTATTGAACAAAACCCCATCGTTACTAAAACCGCACTATCCCTAAAACCGAGAGACTCATTTATCCCCAGATTATATGGCCTGTCAAGAAGGCCTAAGAAGGACATATCTCTACCGTTAATTCTCTCTATATATAATTCACCTTAATGCCACACAGCACAATGGCTTGTCAAGGAATTAGACCCAATTTGACAATTGATTTCCACCTGCATGACAAAATGGAGTCTTCATATTGTCGAATAAAGTAAGCCCCAAAATACCGTCGATTAGCCTATGATCTCCTTAGACATCGAATCATTAGTTAACAATGTACCACTCAATGAGATAATAAATATTGTATACGCGCATGCATCTGAAACTTGCCTGTCGCTCGAAATGCTACGTGAATTGATGATACTTTACACCGAAGATGTTTGACTACTGTTTAATGAGCATTTCTACAGGCAAATTGACGGAGTCACAATAGGTAGTCCACTCGGGCCAACTTTCGTCGACGTTTTTATGGGCCTACTATAATAAAAGGTGTCCTCATAATTGAAGATGACAGCATTATACAAGAGATACTTGGATAATACATTCACGATTGTTGACATTAAGGAAGACGCCGCCAATCCGAAAATGAAATTCACGATGTAAATGGAACGGTGTAATAAGCCACCTTTTCTAGGCTTCCTCATGTTTAGAGAGGCTGGCGATTCAATAAGGCTCTTTGTTTTCTACAAAATTACCTAGAAAATGCAATACTTTTATTTTAGAAGCCTCGTGCCCATACAATGGGAAAGAAATTCGATACATGGCTTTTTTCGAAAAGCGAGAAATATTTACTCTATGAAGACCCTAAATGCAGAAAATGTCCGTATCGAAGAAGCCTTACTTAATAGTGGTTATCCTGTACGTTTCCTTCAAAAGTACAGCAACCCTTTACGGCCAAAATTGGCGGAAGAGCATACTCCGAAAACGTCTGTTATATTATCTTCACCTTTTAAGGGTGATAACTTCGTTTGCACGATCAAACGACACTTCTGCTGCACCACCGAAAGGACCGCAACCTAATTTTGTTCCGTCTAGATATTTTAATTAACGCCTGTTTCAGTACTTATGTTGCAAAGCGGACTCATTTCTCCGACCTGCTCTGAATTAATTAAATGACGCGAGCAATGCGGACCAGCGATGGAAAGACATGCCCAGTTGCACCTCGCACTTCCTAATTAATTCTGCCGTTCTTTACGGGCTGATCGTGTGTCTGACTGTCGGTGGCAACCAAGCAAGAGAAATTCCATTCCAGCAGTGGTTTATGACGTAAATATCAGTTGGTAGCAACCGAGTACTTGTTAGTCATTCTGCTCGCAGTACTACTTGTTTGTAGGATGTGAATTACGTGGTTATTCCACAATAGTTAATTGTCTTCGACTCGAATGCTAATCGAAATTTCGAGTCTGCCCCTAAAACATCATGTCCCGGAGACCTAACGCCATGTTCTGCACTGAATGATTATTCTCTGGAGCTCATATACCAGAAACTGCAAAGAGCACGCTGGGGGACCAACTGAGAAGCGGGACCCCTCGCAGTTGTGTCACACAGCTGCTCCTTCATCTCTAAACAAAGCAAACGGGCAAGATGGTCAGCCCGAAGGTCAATGCTGGAAATTTTCTTGGTAGCTTTAACCCTGGATGCAGATTTTACGTCCGTGACACCCCGAATGACAGGGCGTACCTTGCTCACCGCCGGTGCGCAGTTGAGAGTCATTCCTTCCATGGCAGCCTATCGCCTGTGTCCCAATACCGGCCTCCTCCTTCAGGCTGCCAAAACCTCGCCAACTGTCACCTTTGTCATCTGCTCCCTTTGCCTGGATATCGGCCTCTGGAGTCCATCCCTTGGATCCTCGCCGTTGCTGACATCCCCTGTGCTGTCCTCGCCGCTCTTAACCTTCAGATCGACTCTCGTCAGTCCCCTCTACACGACAAGATCACCGACTTTACCGTCCGTGACATTTCTTCTGACCCTCCCGCGTTCTCTCGGCCCCGCCGTTTTACTCCCCCGCGTCTTCCTACGGCTGCGGCTGTACGTAATTCACCACCACCCTTTTCCAGACGTCAGTTGCCGTGATTGCTGGGCATGGTGATTTTTTACCGCCGGTTCCTCCTGCACTGTGCCGACACCATCCTGCCGCTCACTAGGCTCCTCTCTGGTCCCAAAAGTTGGTTCGAGTTGTCTACAGACGCCCTCCTTGCTTTTGACAAAGTGAAGGCTGTTCTGACCGACGTCACCCTCCTGACGCATTTTTCGCCCGATGCTACCATCTCCCTCGTGATTGACGCCTCCAATTTTGTAGTAGGCACGGTTTTCCAACAGCAACTTACGGGTCACACTCAACGCTTAACTTTCTTCTCCAGGAAGTTGTCACCTGTCGAGACGCGCTATAGCTCACTTCGATGGGAGCTCCTTGCCATCCTCGTCGTCGTGAAGCTACTCCGAATCTTCCTTGACGGCAGGGACTTCACTGTTTAGAAGATGAAGACGCGATCACTGAAACAAGTAATTTATTGGCCTGAAGTTTCGGATTCTCCCTCGAATCCATCATCAGAGACATTCGCAGATAAAGGTGATGGTGGCGCCAGGAGTGCAGTATTTGTAGCACGTGACTGCCGTGGACCGTATGTGCACTGCAAGTAACAGTTCTCGCAATTACCGCTCGGGTCGTAATTGATGCGGTAGTGGCTTGTCGGTCCGAGTCCGAGTCGTTAATTGCCGCGATTTCGTCATCCGTGCTGGATGCTGGTGTGACGATTGCTCGGCAAACTGGCTCACTGTCACCGTGATAATTGCTCACCCGCGCCCTTCCCACGTGACTGATTCTCCTGCCCAGGGAAAATCGCAACACGGAATATGGTACCGTTAGGTCATTGTGCTTGTTGGTGTATTGCGGGCCTGAGAACCATGACTCGAGCAGCTCGCGGCTCAAGCGGTTGTCATCCCTTGCGAGGACTTCGGCCTCTTGAAATTTAAAAATATGGCCTGGTCCTGTCGAGTGTACGCCACCTGAGAGTAAGCGTCTCCCCGCCTCACTGCTGCTGCGTACTCGGCAATCTGAAAATGTCTCTGATGATGGATTCGAGTGAGAATCCAAAACGTCTGACAAATAAATTTCTTATTCCAATGGTCGCATCTTCATCTTTTGAACTGCTACATGGAACTCGCCTGTTTACTTCTATCAGCGGACTCCACTGTGTTCACTGATCACAAGCCCTTTTCCTTCGCCATCAACTCCCCTTCTGACAAGTTCAGTCCCCGGGAAATTCGCCAGCTGGACTACATCTCGCAGTTCATCTCAGACATCCGCCACATCGACGGATCAAACAATGAGGCGGCTGGCGCACTGTCCATCGCACATCTCCAACTTTCTCCTGGGATCAACCCAGCTGAGATGGCTGTCGAACAACGCCGTGTTGGTTCTCCCTGTGACGAAGACGTTTCCTGACTCCAACTCCAGGACCTGCTAATAACTACTGGCAATGGAACGATCCACCAATTCCCATTGTCCCCTTGTCCCGTCATCCCTCCACCGCTAGGCCTTCTCCTCCCTGCACAATTTTTCTCACCCTGGGAGTCGAGCTAATGACAAGTTGTTCTCCGACCGCTTCGTATGGCTTTGGATGCACAAGGACCTGAAATCCCGGACACGGTCGTGTCTTGGCTGCCAATGGAATATGGTCCAACGGCACAATAAGGCTCCCATCGACACCTCCTCCACTGCGATTGCTTAGTTTAGTTACCTCCACCTGGACATCGCAAACCCCTGCCTTTGCCCGACAGCTCTTCCTTTTTCCTCGCCTGCGTGGATCGATTCACCTGGTGACCAAAAACTATCCTTCTGCCTGAAGTCGCTGCTTCAACAGTCGTCAAGGTTTTATTCAGTCGTTTTATTGCCATTTTCGGTGCCCCCCTCATTACATCTGAAATCGGTGTCTAGTTTGAGTCTAACCTCTTGCAGTTTCTTCTCTCCTTTTCAGTCTGTACTCACATAGACACTAAAGTCTATCATCCGGCAGCCAACGGGATGGTTGGGCGGTTTCGTCGCCGACTGAAAACCTCCCTGCGCATCGCATACGACCCATGTGAACTGGACTGACCACCTACCGCTGGTCTTGTTTGGTATCTACTTCATTCTCAAGTCGGACTTTGACTGTCCAACCTCTTATCTGGTGTTTGGCGCCAACGTCCGACTGCCCGGTGGGATGATCTCGCCAACCCCGCGAGGTGCGGTCGAGGAGCCAACCAACCTTCTGCCTTGTCCCTCTCCCCAGGTCATCCGTCTCCGAGTCTTACTTCGAGAAAGACCTGGAGACATGCTCTCACTTCTATCTCCGATGTGATCAAGTCCGCTGACCACTGAAACCACTCTATGAAGGACTCCTCCGGGTTAGGTCTCGGGGAACGAAGACCCTCCGCATCTAACGCGGAATTATCGAGGCGGTCGTGAACTTGGACCGTCCCAAAGTTGCTGTTCCGGACACTCATCCGTATGAGCCCTGTGGTCTCATGCCCCCTGCTGTACCTATCCGACCCTCCATCCCTACGCGTCCCGCATACTTCCTCTTCCCCTATGGTCGCTGCCCCCACCTCCAACTATCCCTTCATTAACCTCCAACACTGAAGCCGCAAAACATACTCGCACCACCCCTGTGCCTTCTCTACCCGTAGTGGATGCCATGTTCATTTTCCAGACCGTTTGGTTATTCGCGTTTTTAGACATGAGTCTTTCCTTCGGTGTCGCTACACGCCGCCTTCGGTCTGGCCTGGGGTACTGTGACAGTCCGCGCCTCCTTTCTTCCCGCCGTTTTGTATGGCTGTCCGTCTCTCCGCCTCACGCTCCCAGTCTATTCGCTGTTGGGACCGCGTGAGGCTTATCACTAGTCTCGCGAGAACTTGAGGACAATCAGCGCTGTCCCTTCTCTGATTGGCTGGCGGGCGCTAACTGAAACAGAATAAAAAGACGCACACACGTGCTGGGGGGTTAATAACCTCAACGGCGGACACGGACAAAGCAACTTGCTGGAGGGACAGCTTGTGCCAACAGCTTGCAGAGCCACAAGTACGCTCTTACGTGCCATTAAAGTCGTCTAGCGCAATCCGCTTTCCCTGTCTTCCGATTTGTAAATCATTGTTCTGTCAACTATACAATCACGAAAATACGGCTTCATCCATGTACTCCACTAGTCGCCAAGAAGCTGTCTGCAAAGGATTTGGATTAAGCTCCAAGACATAACAATACGACCGTTTTTCGTAGCCTGATCGGCGAACGCCTCTTTGTCACAATAGCATATGAAAATAATTATCTCATCTCCCAAAAGCGTGGCTCCGTCAGCGGTTAGCTAATAATAATCTTAAAAATAATAATTTTTTAGTAAAGATCCGTCGGGGTCCCATTAAAGTAATCAAAAATTAATTGACATAGAATTTTAAACGACGTAGGCAGAATCCGTACAAAAATGCAATTTATAGTTTCTGAATTTGTAGTCCGTTAAGAAAGATGACGAGCGAGCAGTGAAAAAAACCACTTAAAAATTTGAAAATGATTGGATTAATTCTGCAGGAGAAAAAAACCCGCTAATAATAATAATAACAGAAAAGTGCGGGCAGGACTGACCTGCATGTGGCGGTATATAACGGACTATAATCGGACATCGTCGGGGCAGAAATAAATGTCAGCCTTGAGGGGTACGTATGCGGGTCGGACAGGACTAGCATGCATGTAGTATTGTATACGGGATTCAGAACTGACATTGTCAGGGCAGGATTGATACGCCAGATGATGCCAGACGAGAGGAACCCAGACGCGATCGGCCACAGTACGCTTCGAGCCCAGCCGAGGAGTGAGAAAGAGAGGAACGACCAAACTACTGGTAGACGGTGAATCCTGAGGGTTCCGCCGCGGACGTCGACAGACCGCATGAGGTCGAAATGCGGAGATGACACAAAGAGCCGCGAAAATCGTCGCTATGGGGGAGGAGTGATAGCAGAGGATTTAGAAAGCAATTCAATACACAGTTTCTAATGATATAATTAAGGGTTTCCACTCGATCGACCGGGAGGACCTTTCTCAAAGTCACTAAGCTGAGTGTTCGGGAATGAAACCATTAAAAGTGCCTTTATACTTTCCGGTGTAAGCTGAGTCAAAACTCCGTGAGAAAATTATCTAATAAAAATAAAATCTTTTTGAATTATTTTCCCAAACTGGACATCTTATTAGCTTATGAGTAGTGTTTTTTCTTTGGTAGAACATTGTTCGAAATTTCATTTCCATGACTACCCTCCAAGCTACCACCATATTCATTGTACAAAAAATGGCACAATACACGAATAAAGATGAACACTTCTGTTTGAGTGAATATTTGGAAGATTGTTACCAAACGCTCACTTGATATGACAAACAGTTTTGCTTTTCAAATATAAGCGAGAACAAAACGTTTAAAATTATGGCGAATGGGCTAAACTGAAAAAGTATATTTTTTCTCATCTGCAATGGTTTCGGCAATCAAATTCACAACGGTGTTGTGAAGCAAGTTGTTAGAAAATCATAACGTTAGTGCAGTTAGGTGGACTAAACTGTTTAGCATAAGTAAAACGACTGTACATATTGGGTAGAAAAAGGGGGTTGACGAGCCATTATATGGCGATAGTTATCAGACGTCAGGCATCACTGAATCCATGAAGGACATGTTACTTGCATGTGTTAAAACAGGCACATACTATGTGAGAATAAGAAGACATTAGGAAAAAGGACGAGACGACCTCCGGCCCGGCAGTTGTTGATCCACGAACCTTCTGAAAATGTTTCACCATCGTAGACACCGACACAGGTCAGAAGATTAGAAATCCTGGGGACAAAGACAAAATTTTCGTTTAATGAGTACAATATGGCGTGGGCATGTTACAGTATTCTTTGTTGGCTTGTGACACACTTAAGATTCTCCGTGGAAGAAGGGAAAAAAGCTGACTAACAATTTTATCATTTAGTTTGACATTCTTTAGATTGTTACATAGGCCTGATCTGTAGAGGTGTTCCTTCCGACACTTTAAAAATGTGAAATATAGGGAAGAAATTCTGTCAGAACTAACCAGTCCAGTTATAAAAGGGCAAGAAATATTAAAAAGTTTAATTTGAAGGTGTTTGAGATAGCTAGAGTGCGATTCAAAACTTAGTAGTTTAAGGAAAGTCGGGTTAAAAGTACCTATCAAACTTGAAAGCAGACAAATTTCTTGTGGGATAGTGTCGCCAATCAGAATTTTTTCTGTGGTGCGATTAACAGTGCACACTTAAAGATGGGGTAGGTTTTTGGATGGCCTAATAACACTGGATTGCCTGAACTACACAGTGGAGTCCTACTTTAAAGAGGAAAACTTAGTGCGTCTAATTGAAACATGGTCTTCAGCACGATTCTTCTTAAATGCCTTTAGGTCTTTCAACTTCTAAAGTCCTGTCTCAGGATGTATTTCGCGTCTGACGGAGCAACATGCCTGCAGGGGAAGGGCGCACTTATGCGTTTGCCGACTTTGAGACAAATTTCCAAAGCGGTTCTGCAATGATTAGAGTTGCTGGTCTTCCAACGCCACAGACTGGAATTCTGGGCCCGGTATGTGGATGGGCCCATCGACGTTATCGACCGGGATCGTTAACTGACATTCAATGGACGTCTCAACACCGTCTTCCCGGATATCAATTTTACGATGGAGAAGGAAGAAAATAACCAGCTGGCCTTGCTGGATGTTCTCGTATACTACAAAGATTGTTGTGGCCCAAAGTCTGAAGTGTTCAGGAAAGCGACAAGTACTGAACTTCAACAGCAGTTGTGCAAAGACGCTCTATTGGATCGCTGAAACGCACTACAATAAACCGGAAGACAGGGTTGCCTAATAAGAATAGCTTTGATGGATGTTCAAAGTCAATGACTTCCCGTGCAACTCCGTCAACCGGTGGATACGAAAACGGGACGAAAGACCAAATCGTACAGACCCCAAATTTTTGGGAGCGCTTCCGTACTTCACGGATGTTTCTGAAGTCGTTCGCGGTCTTCTCGCTACACTTGGGGTTGGAGTTACACACACAGAATGCACTAGTTCCCTCTGAATGTGGCCTCTGTGGCATTTCCACTCAACTGTAATCCGAGCCACTCCTCTGTTGTTTTGGTGAATCCTAGTTCAATGTATGCCCACCAGGCGTGTGGCGTGCATGTCACCTAAAGATCGTGATATAAAGTGTCTACTTATTTCGCTTAGGTAGCTCGATACGATTCATCAATATATCTCGAAGCACTTCCCTGTCCGACAGTGTGCAGGTTTTTGACATTCCCCC